AGACGGAACTCTAGGTGTGTGTGTGGGGGGGGCGTTGATAGGTGAGCTAGCACGATGCCATAAGTCATCGTGGCCGAGAGCTTGAGCGTGCTGGCAATGTTCAAATTATTGATCACGCTAGATAACACGCTCTCTCCCAGAAACTGTAACTAAACATAGTCACAGTATAACTCACATGTGGGCTGTGTGGGTTTTGAGAAAAACACAAAATGTGCCTGAGCAAGCGTCTGCAATAGGGATTGTTTAGCCGCCCTAGTAGACTGGTATCCTCGAATACGAGTAACCAGCTATTATTATATGTATGTATGTATATATGTATGCATGTAAAAGTGAACACTAAGATCAACCCCGAACACAATCTTCAGATCATGTGTGTTGTGTTTTGGCTCGACTATTTATATATGCTGGTCAATCGTGCATTATGGGTAGTAGGAAGGTCTATTGTATTACTCTAATGGTTATTGGGTGAGTAGTAATGATCTCTAAAAGGGCTCAGTACCGCTCAAGATTGAGTGCATGGAAATATAAAAGTGAACACTGAAATCCACACTGAGTGGCGTCAGTCTGTTTTATGGTGGAACATAATCTTCAGGTTATGTGTGTTTTGTGGTGGCACGACTATTTATATATGCTGCTCAGTGGTGCATTATGGTTAGCAAGGTCTATTGTATTATCTTTTATATCTTGTTATTGGGCTGTTGAGTAGACATAATTGTGGATCCAAATGCGCTTATTTGTAGCTATCTTATAGTGTTGTTTGTTAACTTTTTAATCGTTATTTATTATTTTTTACTTCATTATTTGTTCATTTTTTATTTACTTTAATTTGGGGCGTTATCTTATTTGTTTTGTTTACTGACTTTATCTAAAGTTTGTTACATTATCTGCGTTGTATATAGTGTATATATATGGATTTTCCCGATGATATTTTACAAGGTATTCGTTTTTAATGTTCGATTTTTAAGTTGCGCAGTAAAAATTTGTTTTCGTGTCTGCATTTTGGAATTAGTTCTGATCGCTTATTTAGTAATTTGTGTTGACCTGGGCAGGTGATTTTGGCTATTTTCTCCTCTAGATAAAGTTTACAGTTTGGGGATTTATTGTTGGTAATTTGGTTTATGTTTTTAATTTCTCATATTAAGACATGTCTCATTGAATAATTTAGACAAGTTTTGTCTACTTATTTTCCTTAGGATCCTTTCATATTTAGCAACACCCTGATGATGACATTGTAATAATGTCGAAAGTACTCGGAAAAAATTAATATGTATCAACACAGTAATTTTCTCTCTTTCTTTAAGAAGGATACTAGGAAGCTTGTCCGTGAATATGTCCGTGAATATGACCGTGAATATGAATTTGCCTCTAGTGTAAACTGTGTCTGTGTCTACTTTTTTTTTATTCTAGTGTAAACCGGACCTTTGTCTACCTTTTTGACCTTAATGTAAACCGGTCCTATATCCATAATTCCTCATAATTCATTATTATTTTTATCCAATAACACTTATATTTTAAATCAAATGTCTACAACATGTGTTAATATTTCGTAAAATTAACCAGCCTATCTTAATCAAATATTATTAATTGTTCTATAATTTAATAATACACCGAATTTAATAGATTTATTTTATCTTTTATTTGATTGTATCTACGAAACTCTGTTTGGTCCTCCCACGACTTTGTGAACTATTCAAATATTTCAGTGTTCACTGCGGTCCTGTTCAAATATGCCCACGCTTCTTAATATGCTATTGAATATTCAAACAGCAGTTTTGAACTATATAAATTAAAACGCAATTTTTGTGTTGCATTAGAGCGATCATTTTCTCACATATTTCCCTGTCGTACATTTGCATATAGTTTGCTTTTTACTAGATGTAAAATGTAAACCATTTTTGACCTGATATGATTCTTTTAAATATAGTTGGTTGATTTTGTTTAGCGGCAAATCAACACCTCTATGGGTTATTTACTGCCGGAATCTAAATATTTTGAACGTAATTTATGTATTCAACTACAGAATGTATTGTTTGTCAGTTTTGTATAAATATGTATTGTTGGCAATTCTATTATAAATTGTTTTGCGAGCCATTTTGCTTTAAAAATGTATTGTCGGTAATTTTACAATAAACAGCTACTTCTTCTATTTGTTTGATATAATAAGGTATTGCTGGTATTTTTTGCTATAATTATGTATTGTTGGTAGTTTTTTTTATGAAAAATGTATTGTCGGTAATTTTACCATAATCAGCTACTTCTTCTATTTGTTTGATATAAAAAGATATTTCTGGTATTTTTGCTATAATTATATATTGTTGGTAGTTTTTTTTATTTTGTATGAAAATGTATTGTCGGTAATTTTACCATAATCAGCTACTTCTTCTATTTGTTTGATATAATAAGGTATTGCTGGTATTTTTTGCTATAATTATGTATTGTTGGTAGTTTTTTTATGAAAATGTATTGCTGGTATTTTTACTATAAAATATTATTATACTTTCATAGTATTTTGTTTTTGTTTAGGGGTTCACCATTTGCCCAAAAGCGGGGATCCCAACAGGTGCTACCATCTCGGGTCAGGAAAACAATTAAAAGTTGGTTCCACGCTCAGAGACTTTGCTACCGGATCTTGTAAAGACGAGGAATGGCAGGTGGAGTCAGATTATTTCTGGCGTGGTACAAAGAAATAAACATGTTTCCACCATATTCAGCGATAGATTGTAGACATGGGTTCCACTTGCGGTTTGGGGGTGAACTTTGAGTCCCAAAAGAAGCTCAAACGAAGGAACCTCATTGAGGGTGCAAACATTCCTCGTGCCTAGTGAGAAACTAGGGTCAGTTCAGTGATTGCGAAAGATTACTGGCTTGATTTTTGAAATATGGAAAGTTGCAAGCTAGTTCCCTTACCCCCACTCTAAAGCCGTTAGAACTTTGTTCAGATGAAATATCAGCAGCCTGTCTATAGTTATCTTGATTTTTAGGGGTACATACATACACTGTAGTGTTGTACTTCGACAAGGTGTAATGCTCCACATTTTCGGCCTTGTATCATATCAAAGCTACACTTAGAAAATCATTTATGGGGACCACAACGTGCTGAAACGATTAGCATGCTTATCTCGCTAGATCAATCACAACTGAGTACTGAGTTCGATCCTCACTGAGTGCTCCATATTTTCGGTCCTATTGTCTATCTAAGCTGCGCGTAGAAAATCATTTAGGGGGACCTTGATGTGGCGTAACGGTTAGAAATCTTGTCTCGCTAGATCAATTATGACTGAGTATTGAGTTCGATCCTCACTGACTTCTCCAATTTTTCGGCCTTGTGCCACATCTAAGCTGCGTTTAGAAAATCACCGTATGATCTGAGAATGTTCTTAGGCAGATCGTTAATTTAAAGCAGAAATTTTCAAGGACCTGCCTGATAGGAAAGACTTGATTATTGTAATGACTCTTCTAGAGTTTCCATAGCTGTACAGTTTGGGTAACAGATGTACTAATTTTTAGCATAGCAAATTTTAGCTTCTTTTTTTGCAGTGACCGACGCATTAATTTGGAAATTCTTCAAAAATCAAATAGTGGATTTTAATGAAATTGTCAGAACTTATTCACAAATGAATTAAATTAATTTTTATATTTTTTTTATTAGAAAATCTTGGTAAAAATATTTTTTTTTTACATGTGTTTCACCCCCTTACTTAATTTTATGAAAACTTGAGAAATTCATTGTAATAATTTTTAGTGATTATATTAGTTAAAAGCAGAATTCCTTGAAGAATTTAAATCACCAAATTTTTTTTTGCAAAATTGGGCCCTGCAAAGATCTGTTCGAAGTCAAAAAATAAAAAATGAAATAAAACTAAAACATCATTTAATTAGAGAAGTTTTTTATTGATTTTATATATATATTATTGATTATATATATATATTATTGATTTTATATATATATTAAAGACAATATTGTCTAAAGGAAATTTTTTTTTGAATATTTAATGACAAATTTTACTCCTTTTTAAAACATTCGAAATATTAATACTAATAAGTCAGTCGTTTAACGGCCTTCCCGATGACATCAGCTCTCAACATGGCATCTTCATAAGGACACTACCATTTACTCCTACCACGATAGTTAGGCTGATCAGTCAGACAAGGTCAAAAGGTCAGCTGATGTACAAAACGACCTCGAAACCGTCGTCAATTGGGGGGAAAAAGATGGCTTGTAAATTTTAACGCCTCTAAAACTAAACTCTCCATTAATCATCTGAGGGAACCCTCTTTACCTTCCATCAGTATGGCTGATGCTATCCTCCAGGAAAATGACTCATTGCGCTTTCTCGGCATGGAGGTAAAACTTCTACGTGACAGATTAGAAGACATCACAGCATTGACAAAATACTTGCTTTCCTTTCAAACTTTCCGAAACGAAATCTCTGGTAAAAGATCCGTCTATCAACTTGAAGATACTGTAATAGAATAAATCTTTACAATATCTAAGAACTTGGTCACACCATAATAGCAAAATCCTAGAACTGTTAGTAATGTAATAGAAATGGTATTATTATTAGCTATTTTCTTATAAGGAAACATTCGAGATTTATTGCTCAAGCAACCAGTGCCTTTGTAAAAGGGTTATTATTTTCTTCCCCGCAACCAGACAAATTGTACACATGGGTACTAGTTATGACTTCATAGAGAAATTGTAGTATTTTGGTGAGTGGATTGGTTGATTCATTCGCTTTCTACGGCTTATCAATCTTTGGCAGATTATTTAAAACCAGAAAATATTTTTAGATTGTATTTTTTTTCCTCGATAATACTGATTTAGTGATACAAGACTTACTAATTAACCCATAGCTGGAGAAAGGAGAAGAGGTAGATTCATATCTTTATCAAGAGGATTTACGTGTAAATTAATATAATGAACACGATTGGAATTGGAACTCGGCTCACCGATTAACAATTCCGAGTCGTTATCCATTACACCACCCGCACATGAAAACTTACGGCAACTGGTATTCCCAAGCGGTCACTCATCAAGGTACCGTGTATGCTCGACGTTTCTTAATTTCCGTGATTGTACGGAAACCGGTATTTCAACGTGATATGGCCGTAAGCATGGTGAGTGTAGGAAGAATGGCAAGTAAGAATATGTTGTTTTGGTGTAAGGAAACTTATAGTATGTTTGGGACCATAATTGCGTCTAGCTAAGTTAAATGTGAGACAGATGAGGACCAGCCTTATCCATCCCCTCAAGGTCTTGTGTCATATCTCTTTTAAATAAAGAGAATAAATATTACAGCCAGTGTTACACGAGTTACGCTTTTCTCCAATTCCTGGTCATAGGACTTGGATACTGTAGTATCTGTTCTCTTCATCTATAAATTTTATGGTAAAATTAGCGATTTCCTTATATGGAAGCATTAGACATTCATTGACCGAGCACCCAATACTACTTACGCTTTTCTCCAATTCCTGGTCATAGGATTGGGATCAAAGTGTAGTATCTGTTCGCATCATCGATAAATTTTATGGTATAATTAGCCAATAACTTATTCGGAAACATTCGGCATTCATTGACCGAGCTGTTAGTAGTACTTGCTTTTTTTTCAATCCTTGGTCCATGAGCTGGCATGAAAGCTGTAATGTTATCGATCTTGACCTGACATTTCAACTTCAGTCACTTTCCCAGCGCAGTGACGTGGCTCCCCCCCATCTCTCTTTTTTTAATACATATTTTTATGGTAATTGTTCTAATGAGCTGTTCTCCTTGGTACCTCGACTACATGAATTTAAGGGCACTATTAGATTGACAAATAAGTCACATCGATTTACCGTGGAAATAGCTAAATATAAACTTAAGTTTTATTCTAATAGATTCTTCTCTCGCATTACTCGCCAGTGGAACTCTTCTTTTTTTTTTTTTTTTTTTTGCTTCTCCACCACGTCTGATCTTTAAAAATTTTAGCTTCAGCATAAACCGCCATCTTCTGTCTTCCTGAAACATGTTTCTTGTCATCTCCCTCTCACTCCTCATTAAAGTCTTCTCGTTCTCTTTCACTCTCGGTTACCCCTGGTGTCTTAGTGGCTTTATCATCATATTTGGAATGAAATGATAAAAAATGAATACTTTTAAGTCCTGAATGGAAGGGTAGATTAGGAAAAAAAAACCCAACATGTTTTAATAAACAACATTTTTAAAAAAAGAGGGGATGGAATGAACAGCAGCTGTGGAATAATAGGGGGTAAGTTGGAAAAAATTTAAATAACTGAGCAGACCCGCATCTTTTGAGTGTATGAATATATATCAATGCAGAACAATTAGTCCTATGTATGGCGATAAAATACATCCTGCAGCAAAGCCCCTGACCGAGTGATTGGAAGTTTTGAGTAGCGTAAAAACATCTATTAATTGCTATTGTTCCAATGTCTACCCTGATCCGGGGTGGTAGTACCCGTTAGGGTCCTAGCTATATCAATGCAGAACAATTAGTCCTAAGTATGGCGATAAATTACATCCGGCAGCAAAGGCCCTGACCGGGAGATTGGAGGTTTTGAGTGGCGTAGAACCACCAATTAATTGCTATTGTTCCAATGTCTCCCCCGATCCGGGGTGGTAGTACCCGTTAGGGTCCTAGCTATGGGCAAATAGTGAACATTAAAAAAACCCACAGACGATGAAATTATAAAATACATTTTTATATTAAAAATACCAGCAATACATTATTGCATAAAAAATTACCAACGATTATTGACAGTAAAATAACCAACAATACAATTGATCTGTAGTTGAAGGTATACAACTGCATTTAAAATATTTAATTGAAGCCATAAAATTGTCTTCAAATTATTTAGGTTTCTGCATTAAATAACCAATAGAGATTGATATACAACTAGACAAGGTCAACCAGCCAACCAATGCAGAACAAATCGAAAACGTTAACCAGTAGTTGGTCGATTCCTCTTTATTGTAATGGAATAACTTAGGTGCCAAATCGTTGACAACATTTTGTCGATTTTCATTGTGCTCTCACGAACAAAGTCTTGTTTGAGTCGAATTACGACATTTTAAATTTTATAATTGAAAAGAGCCATTTTACGCTAGCCTAGTAACTGTTTCAGCCTACTGAGCAAATACATTGAGTCAATTGCTTCGTCCACCGCAGGGAAAGTTTGCTCCCTGTGCCGCGCCAGGAAATTTTTCTCCCCGGAATCAATCCTCCAGATCTACAAATCAGCTGGGGTGTTAAAATTGAATATGAGCTCGATGAAGCTTTACTCCCAGGTAATATCTTTCCCTCGGGCAGGATCTAGGGTTATTACCCGCGGTCTTCCTAGAAAGAGAAGTGCTGAAGTAGGTTTGAACAATTTAAACTCAATCTTGTGTCACGTTCCGCTCGTGTCATTATGTGGTTCTACAGAAGGATGTTGAGAATGCTATGAACACGGTAGGTAAGCAAAAAAGTTAAGTCTTAAGAAAAATGGAATCAAAGGGAGACTCATAATCAAAATCAGGTGACAACAGAAATTTCTTGAAAACATAACGAGGAAGGAGGGCTTGGAGATTTTAACACTCACAGGACATTGCGAAGTCAAAATGCAGATGATTGGGAGTGATGATAAAAAATAACACTGCTAAGAGCTGCAAAGGACTGGAAGTTGTGGAGAGCCATGACGGCTCACGCTCTTAATTTTTATTTATTGTTGTCATCAAAAAATTGAAAATTTACAGCTGGTGTATTAAAAAAATGAAAACGTTATTAAAAATATAAAATACAATCTGTACGTACCCCTGTGTATCTATGATTGTGAATGAATATGCGTGTCTTTGAGTGTAAGTGTGTGTTTGTGTGTGCGTGCGTGACATGTTTTCGAATCACGTGGTCAGAAATGGTCAACAACTAAAACAATGAATTCTTTTCAATTCAAAAATTGGTGATATATTTTAATTAGTCGTTATAAAATCGTAATGGAAATGGTAATATTAGCCGTTTCCTCATAAGGAAACATTTAACATTAATTGACGGAGCATTCTTCATCATTATGGCTCGCCGTGTGTATTTAAAAATTACCAGCAATATATATTTATAGTAAAATGACCAACAATACATTTTATCTGTTGTTGAAGGCATACACTTACGTTCAAAACGTGCTTACGACCATCACTGAATATATATATATATCAAGCTCTTGATAATAATCGCGAAACTCAAGCTGTGGCACTAGATATCTCAAATCACCACAGAGATCCTTCCCTGCCTTCCATTGAATATCTGACGCTCAACTTCTCGAGAGCACCTCTCTGCGGCTGCTCAGTCTCACGTTGACTGCTGACCTGAGACGGAACAAATACATTGAGTCAATTGCTTCGTCCACCGCAGGGAAAGTTGGCTCCCTGTGCCGCACCAGGAAATTTTTCTCCCCGGGATCGATCCTCCAGATCTACAAATCAGCAATTCGCCCTTTCATAGAGTATTGCTGCCATATATGCTCTGGAGCCCTTTCTGTTTGCCTCAGGGTTCTTGATAGGCTCCAGAGGCGGATATGCAATATAATTGGCCCTACTCTGGCATCTCGTCTACAGTCGCTCTCTCACAGACGCGCCGTCGCCTCTCTCTCTGTCTTTTTTACAAATACTTTCATGGTAATTGCTCCGAGGAGCTGTATTCGCTTGTTCCCAGACTTCATGAATTCAAGCGCCCGACGAGGCTGGCATCCCGCTCTCACCCTTTCACTGTCGAAACTACTAAATGTAGCCGTCTCTTCTACGCCAATAGCTTTATATCTCGCACCTCTCGTCTGTGGAACTCCCTTCCCTATTCCAGTTTCCCTGAGAGCTATAATCTCCAACTATTCAAATGTAATGTTAATCGATATCTTCAGTTGCCTTGATCTATCCACTATCCTTCTCCTCATCCTTTCCTCTATCACTCCTATCTGATCTTGCTCCAAATTTTCTGTAACCCCTTGCGTCCTAGTGGCTCTTGCTTGGGGTGAAACGCTTAAAAAAAATGTAGTTTGACAGGGTATGGTATGCTGGTCTTGTACGTAAGCTACAGGACTGCTGTATTATAGGACGTTTACGTAATTTAATCCAGTCATTCCCATCTATTCGGGAAATGAAGGTCGTTCTGAATGGGCTCACTCCCAGTTCCTTTCATACTAATGCGGGTGTTCCCCAAGGCGTTAACCTGGATCCTGCACTATTTCTTATCTTCATCAATGATCTCCCTCGTGTCATCAGTTCCCAAGTAGTCATCTCTGCAGATGATGCTAGCATTTACTCCAGTCTCAGTAGTAAGCTCGGCGACGCTGACAAAGATAACCTGGCCACTGCTCTTGAAAAAGACCTGTAATCAGTGGCTGACTGGGGCAGGAAATCGCTTGTAAATTTTAATACCTCTAAAATTAAATTGCTCACATTTAACCATCATAGAGAAACGTCTGTTCCTCCACCACCATGGTTGATGCTCGTCCCCATGAGAGCGTCTCACTGCGCATTCTTGGTATCTCGTTTTTAAATGATTTGAAGTGGAACAACTACGTTGAATTAATAGCTGCATCTACTGCAAGGAAAGTTGGTTCACTGTGTCGTGCCAAAAGTTATTTCTCGTCAGAGTTCATCTCACACATCTACAAATCTACCATTCATCCTTGCATTGAATAGTGTTGCAATATTGAGTCTGGTGCCCATGCCGCACATCTCGACAAGATCCAAAGAAAGATCTATAATGTACGGTGGACTAATGGATAGCGGCTCGGATTGAGGAATCGGAGATCCGAATTCGAATTTCAGTTGAATCCATTACATTCACTTACGTGCTGATACCCTTGGGAAAGGTGTGAATCATCTTCTCCTCCCCCAAGTTATGGGTAAATAGCAGGACAAACCTGGTTCTGTAGCCTTGGGTGGCAACTGGTCTACCGCAGAAAGAAATAGCAACCTATTGCGGGAAAAATCTGTCTCGTCAGTCATGTATCGAAAGATACATGATCGCCTAAGCGTGTATCACGCATGGCACGTAACTGAAATTCACTTACGTGCTAATACTCTTGGAAAAGGTATGAATCCTCTTCTTCTCCCCCTAGTTATGGGTAAATAACACGACAGACCGG